TGTACTATGTACCAAGTACTGTTGTAAGCATTTTGCATATGTAACTCATTTCATCCTCAGAGCAACCTGTTAGGAAGACACTACATCAATACTATTATCCCCATTCTACAGATGAGAAAAGCCAAGGTGCAGATTATGTAAGAGAATTGCTCAAGGTTACATAGTCAGTGAGAAGGCTGGAATTTGAACCCAGAACATCAGCTCCAGAGAAAAATGTATTTAACCGCAGGATGAAATGGTACCTTCTTCTAAACATCCATAGGTTTTAGGGTTTGGAGTTTTTTTGCAGGGGGGTGCATTGTATTGTTTACTGATGCTCTGTGGTTACAGGAGATCAATCAATGGGGTAAGCACTTTGAGATTTAGACAGGTCTTTCTAGTGACCACACGTCCTGCTTTGTCCGCCCAGGGTTCTCGAGGGTGGGTGGAGGTATTCAGGAAAGGCTTCCTACATGAAGTGATGGCTGAGTAACATGAAAAGATAAATCACAATTAGCCACATTAAAATAAGCAATTAAGATCAGTTTGTTCGCTAATAAATATTCTCCCTCGCCAATTGTGTAGGCCCCAAAATACAACCTTTTGTAAATGGAGTTGACCATCTCTTCCAAAACGCAAAACATTAAATGCCTGCAAGAATAAAGTCCGGGCTTTTTGTAACCGTGGTAGCCTGCTTTACATACAAAAGGCTTAAAATGTCACTTCAAGGTGATATTCTTGGGTTATTTGGAAGGGAGAAAAAGATTTAATAAAACTCTTATTAAAGAGTTTTAGGAGAGGAGAAAATATTTCACAGCACCAGTCAGGGAAAGAGTTCTCTAGCAGAGAGCTTCGGACTCTTCGATAAATCAAAGGTAATGAGCCGATAACTCCATGTAGGGGAAGGGTGCTACGTTCTGGTGAGCTTCGGGTACACATAGACCACTCCTGCTGATACACTCTGAGACCCAGTTTGGGGATGGCTGGGCGAACAGGAAAGCACACTGATCGGGTGGAAAATACAGCGGGACCACATCGGAATCCTGTTTTTATTCGCTTCTGGTTTGGTGCTCATGCTTTTCTACTGAACAGTCACATTTCTCAAATGTATTATAATAACGAGTACTTTCCAATGATGGTGACTTTACGTCACAGTCATGCAAAGATACAAATCTTAAAAGGCACATTTCCCTGTAAGACCTGGAAGTACCTAGAAGCTCAGAAACGTCTGGGAGGACAGACTGGCTTCTCACTTCCTCAAACCGCACCAGGATAACCCTGGATTAATTACCGTAATAGAACGCTCAAACCAAGCTGGAAAGTCTATCTGCTTTCACACAATGGTGCAGATAAGGGGCATATATTCCTAGGTAAAGGTTAGGGGAAGTGATGAAACTTATCAGGGTGAGGGAAGCATGATGCTCCAGAGACAGAAACCAACTTAGAAAAAACGAGAAACCAGCCATAGGTTACAAGCAGAGATCATGATCCAAGCAAACGGAAAGTAATTAGGAGCTAGGAGAGCAGAAATAGGGTGCCAAGACCAAGTGAGAAATTCCAGAGGCTGGAGTGGAGATGCTGCTGGAAACTCAGTGGTTCTCACGCCGGTAAGGAGCGTCTTCAGGTTCTAAATGCCAGGCTGCCGCTGGGAGGCCGGGGAGGAGGGGACATTGGTTAACCCGATTCAGCTTCCCAGGCTCCGTGCTAAACCTGCTCCCTCACTTTCAGAGCTCACTCCTGGCACCATTCTTGACTTTGAAAAAATGCCCTAGATAAATCAAAAGATTCAAGAAGGCGGCAGGACAAGTTTCCACCTGAAGTCATCTAACATCAAAGCCCACAATCGGAGTGGCCCCAAAAGTTCCAGCAAACCCGGTGTGCTCATCCGCACACTTCTCTGCAAACTGGAACATGTTTTGTAAAGACGTCATGGGCTCTCCTCTACGAATTTGTTCAGCAGAACTTTTGTTCTCAGGGCAAAGGTGGACCGGAGCAAAGCCCTGTTTGAAGGACCCCAAGTCCCATATGGTAGTACACTTTGTTCCTTTCACAGTTATGCACCCCGTGTGACATGCATTCAATGGCAATTCCCCCAAGTCAGTAAGTACCCCCGGGACAAAAACTGTGTCTATTTATGCCCACCTGTTGCCTCGTCCCCTGCCGCCTGGCACCAAGGGGTCCCCAATAAATATTTGCTGAATAGATAGTATCCACTCAAAAGTTTGTGAAGATAAGGGAGGAAGTACATGTGAAGCACCTATCACAGTGCCTGGCAGTGGAATAAATGTTTTGAACAGAGTGAACAGGTGGAGAAGACATTACATCACTTGTTCTCAGTGCCCCGCCCCGCCCCCACCACCATAACCTTCCTGTTTTTTAGGTCTCTTTCACTCACTTCACCATACTTTCAATGTTTTCATTCCCTCTCTACTTGTTCCCACACTGCTGCCTGTTGCACTCCAACGAAACAACCCCCTCGAAGCTGTTTGAAAATTTCAACAATCAGCAGACTCTACTCCTTGAAACTGTCTCTTTACTGTCTGTGACTCCACTACAGGTTCTCCTGCAACTTTGTCAGTACCTCTCCCTCTGTCCCTGACACCGGACTTTCTCCCTCTCCCTCTCAGCATCCATCTCAGCTGCACTCACACCTTGACCTTCTGCCTTTTTTCTTTCATTAAAAATAAATGCAGCCAGTCTGGGCTTCCACTTTCTCCTTCTTGTTCATGATTGTGAAATGTTCAGATCTTCCACATTTTGCCTGGCCTGTGGTCCCATATTCCCAGCACCTTGGGGAAACCATCCCTCCTTGGTGCCCCTAGAGCCTTTCGTCCTCCCTCCAAGTCTCTACCAGACTCCCTGAGGGTGACACACACACCATACACATGTTTTTGTACCTCCAGCACCCAGCACAAATCCTGGCACAAAACAGGTCATTGTTGAACAAGTGAGTCTAAAAAACTATTACTAACACATTTTCACTTGAATCTCTTATAATATCAGACTTTATACCAAAAGGATGCCCTTTCCCCCTAAATCCCTTTGCCTCTTGAATTTTCTGCCGTCAGTGGCACTGGCTGGCATCCACCCACCCGTGCCTAAAATCTCCAAGTCCTCTGTAACTTCTCTCCATTTCCCTCATAGTCATCACATTCTCTAACCCCACTATCAAGGTGCAACCTGGCCAGGCCTCAGGTCCCATCTGGATTGCTACAACAGCCTCCCTATTCCAAATCATTCAAAGATTCTGTGTTATCTGCTGCAGGTTTATAACCTCATATCCCTGACCTAGTTGCTAGAAATGTCCATCGTTCATGCTCCCCTCATCCCCTACTACTGGCTACTCGATCTGATCAGGCCAACGTCCACTGCTCACCCCAGGAGGCCATTTCTGTCATTGACCAGCAAACCCAGTGTGCTCATCCGCACACTTCTCTGCAGACTAGAACATGTTTCATAAAGACGTCACGGCCTCTCACATTTCAGTGGTGGCTTCTTCTCTCCTAACCTGGAATCCTTTCCTTCTCTTCCATCTGTTGGAATTCTGTCCACAATTCAAGACAAAAAATTTCTTTTTTTTTTAAACAGCTTTAAGATAGCACTGACATATAAAAACTGTATATATTTAAGGTGTACAACTTGATGTTTTGCTATTCGAATACTCTCTTCTGCAGGCAACCTACTCCTCCTGCAGCTCTCAGATTCTGCACCGTAACCTCATCAGGAGCTTCATTCGGGGCTGTTCCCTGACGACTCTCCATTCACCTTGTTTCTCCAAAGAAACTGGGAGCTTTCTGAGAATTGCAACTCTGTTCTGAGTTCTCGGCAAGTGGAGAGTAGACATTTGCTGATTAATTTTATCAGATTTAGATACCACTGTGACTCACTTAAAAGATGAGATACTAAAAGCAGACTACCACCAGTAACTGGGAAAGTCAAAGCTCATTTTCTCTCCCTCTAAAGTAGAAAATGAGCTCCCAATAGGGAAAATTGTGTGCTCTGGATTTTATAATGATAACATTTAAAATACAACACAATTTTCAAATTGCACTTATCAAGGAAAAGCAAGATATTTTTGTGGAGAATGGGAAAGAGAGGACAAAATAAAACTCCTCGCCAAAAAAAAACACAACAACTCCTCGCCCAAACTTCAATACAGAAATGTTCCCAAAGGTCTTTAATCCTGTCCGCTTGCCTGACCCGCCAAGGACGGTCCTAAAAATTTCAAGCTCTTCCTCCCTTGTCAAGAGGAGAGAGTCTCCATCCTGAGTTTTGGGGGTTTTTTTAACTTTAACTTCTTATTTTGGAATAATTTTAGACTTGACAGAAAGTTGCAAAAATAGTTCACAGAGTTTCCTGTTCCAAATATACTCTCTTCACTCGGGTTCTTCTAATGCGAACATGTTGTATAACCACAGCACACTTATCCAAACCAGGAAGCTAATATGGTACAATACTCTTGACTGAACTACAGATCTTACTCGAATTTCTCTAGGGTGTTTTTTTTTTTTTTTTGGCTGTCCCTGGGTCAGTCCAGGATCCCACATTGTATTTGGTTGTCTCTAATCTCCTCCGATCTATCCCTCATTCTTTCTTTGTCTTTCATGACCTTGATACTTTCAATTAATATGGGACAGTTATTTTGTAGAATATCCCTCAGTTTGGGTTGATCTGATGTTTCCTCCTGATTAAGCAGCTATGTCCTTCTCGGTGCATCATTTTCAAGAGTTACACAATACTGATAGGTCTCAATGCTGTGACTTCAGAGATGAGCTTTGATCACTTGGTTACTGTGGCATCAGCTGGGCCTCTCCATTGCAAGTTACTGTTTTCCCTTCATAATTAAGAAATGCCTTGGGGGAGATACTGAGCTTCTGCTAATAATCCTGTTTCTACTTCAACTTTCACCCACTAATTTTCTTTATCAGCAGATCTTGCCTGCAAAAGTTACCACTATGGTATTTGCCTAATGATAGTTCTTTATTTCCTTCATTCCTTCTATTTTTATTAACTGCAGTTACACAATGCTGAGTGTTTCTTAATACAGTGGCGATGTGTGCTCCTCAGCAGATGGCTGGTATGGAGAGCACTCCTGGAGTCTTGGAGATCCTTGTCTAGTAACAGCTCTGACCCCGATGCACTTCATCAACTTGGGAATATGTCTTGTTTTACACTTCTGAGTCAAAAAAGCTACCTAAAGGGTATCTTCCTGCAAAAAAAAAAAAAGAAGAGGAAGGGAGAGGAGGAGAAGCAGGATCGGAAAGGGGGAAGAAGGAAAGGGGGGAGGTAAGGAGGAAGGAGAGAGGCAGGTGAGAAAAGAGAAACATCAACCTTTTGTTTCTTTTTTCCAACTATCAGTTCATTTGAAACAAGTAATATTTCAGGAGGACACTTCTCTTTCAATGAGTTACACTCATACTGAATCCTAAGGAAAGGTCTAGAAACAAAGCCCATTTCTGCCGACTGTGAGTTACACAGCAGTTAATGTATTTATGAAGTCATTACACACCACACAACCACTACTGTGGCTTTCCTTCTGATCTTTTAAAGGGAGCAAGTGTATCTTGGAACAGAAAAAGAAAGGCCTCAAGCCACAGTGTGAACTAGCACAGTGGTAACTTGCAAGGTTGGCATCATTGAGCACGGTCTAAAAATCCCTGGAAAGAATTTACCCTGAGTCTCACTGCAGAAGGCAGAAATACCTCCCTGGCCTGGGGGCTGGGAAGATAAAAACACACACAGACCACAGCGTCCCATTCTCAAGACTAACTTCCTTGCCTGCAACAGACAGAAACTCTGTCAGAGCTTGACGAGGTCTGTTTTCTCTCTATTCCAGTAGCTCTCGCCTCCCTGCCCTCAATTCCGATTGCCTTGGTACCCCATGAGGAAAAGTAGAACACAGTGCACAGTGACTCTGAGACTGGGAAATTCTCACTTACACAGGGTCGGGGGTGGTTATCCACAAACACCTGGCAATTATCTTAATTCTTCATTTTCATATATTTGATATTCTTGAAAAAATAACTAGGGTATATCCTGGATCAGACTGGATCCAGATACCCACATAATGCCCACAAACAGCCCCTAATTCCAGGATCTGAATTTTTGCTCTGATGTTTATAACCAGGTTATTATCAATTGATCATTTGAAGGGATAGCATTTATCTTCCATGTGTTAATAGACAACTGAATGCATTTGAGCTAGTGTGTCCTCATATCCAAATGACAACATTTTGTATTTGCTATTGTATTGGGTTGGCCAAAATGCCCATTTAGCTTTTTTCCATAAAATAAAAGACACATTCATTTTCATGAATAACTTTATTGATTTGGATATTTAGAGTCCATCACCTGTCTCCCACGTGGTATAATACTGAGTGTTCTCAATTAGTGTCTCGATTTGATTGCTATCAACTTCGACTGGTCTGCCCGACCAGGAAGCATCATCCAGCAATACAGAGTTATCTCAGTAAATAAATAAACCTCCGGGAACAGTTGGTTCAAAATTCTAGCCAAAAAAAACCGGGCGCAGAACATCAACACCAATTCTTGTCTGCCCTATAAAAACCCCATAGTCTGTAAGCCACTTTTGACAGGCTCGGTCCCAGCACCTTCTCCATACACTGAACAAATCTTTTTTTGAGTCTCAGTTACATTTTTACCTTTCTTGAAACAATAAAGCATAATATGTAGACAATGTTGCATATCTTCTTTCATCTTTAATATTAAAATGGCTACACAAAAATTCACCAATTGTGTTGCTTCTTTTTAAATGCACACTGATATGACAGCTGTCGCAATAAATCTAACAAAACTGTTTTGAATGAAATTGAAGACAACTAATAGCTACTAGCACCATTGTGTGGAAAAAAACAAACTATCTTTTTGGCTAATCCAATACTTAGGTGATTTGTGGTAACCAATTATAAAGATAAATCTTAAGATTTGCAAAGACATTCAAAATTGAAAGACATTTTCATGGACTAAAACTTGAGTCTCTTAATTTACTTAATAAAACGAGATTTTGTTTTGACATCGTGAAAATAACATTGTGTGCAATAATATTGCAGCAGCTACTGAGGAAAGGCTTACAACAGACCTAGAAAGGCAACAAGCCCCCAAGGTCAACTGGAGGCCAAATTACCTCATCCTGTGCTATTCAAAAGCTTAACAATAGTTTGAGGAAGAAAGACTTTGTTGGAGAATTGAGTCATGCTGTATAGAATAATTCATAGATAATGGTATAATTGTTATTTCCATTCAGGAGGCTAATGGACTCTTTGACTGTAACTCCTATAATAATCAGCTGCAAAAGTCTATTTACCAGAACATATATTCGTAGAGATACATAGAAAATATTTTTGTTAAATGGGTTTTTTTAAATGTTAAGGTTTGGGGAGCATGCACTATTACATTGATTTATCATAGGATCAAAAGACAATGCAGTGTTAAAAAAAGAGAGAGAGAGAATGTATTGTTTACTGTTTCAAGGAAAAACAATAATGATAATGATGATGGTAATGATAAAATAAGTGATGGCCCGTCATGCTCAAAATTTTAAAAATTTAAGTCAAATAAGAAATAAAATATCTTTCTATCATTAAATCCAACCACCTACAGCTTTATTTCATGTAAAACTGCACTGCATTAACACTCATAATTTAATTTTTATTTTGAAATTTTGTTGGTCCTTAATTTATTGGGGTTTTATAGTTGTGTACCACTAGAAGCACAAGGAAGCTTCATACCTAACTATATACCTGTGTTTATATGCTACTGGATAATTAAATAATTCAAGCCTCTATGGTAGGGAGGGGTCCAAAGTAGAAAATAAAGCCCAGAGTAAAAAAAAAAGTTAAAAGAAAATTATAAATAAAATGCCCCTACTTACATTAAATAGAATAGCTATGTATGTGCTTATGTACATGTAAATTTATAAATTCATAGAGAAAAGGGTCTGGAAGGAGACTTACCCACAGTTAACAGTGACAAGTTCTGAGGACGGAAATGTTCTGAGAGACAGAAATAAGGAGGACTAAATAGAACATTTGAGTCTATAAATTTCTGTAGTGTTTCAATTTTCATGCAAATATATTCACCTAAGTAGAAATACATTAAGTAAATGCATAAGTGAAGGGGATCAGTGATATGGACACCGCAGCGTCCATGGCATTATGGATGAGATACGAGACAAATTCACACAGACTACGGAGTCCCGTGAAAGAAAAAAGATGGTACAGCTACTCTCTCAAGAGGAGAGCGCCCTGACCTTTACCTTGACAGGTTTTTGTTGGGTTTCAATTTTCACAGGAATACAGGTAAAGTTCATTAATTATTGTCAGGCAGTAAGGATCAAACAATCAATAGCATACAAAGAACTGTGAGGCCCCATTCTGAGTCAGGGTCAGTTAGCTAAAGGGCTACAAAACTTTGGGAAACAAACTCATTTCCTGCTTAGACCCTTATCATTTAATTGAGAGCATTCTTAGCAAAGCAGTTTTCACAGGATTTTATGTATTCTTTCTTAGGTCCGATCACCCAGGGAAACCCCGCTTCCCAGCACAGGGCTGCACCGCTCTCTGTCATTGTTTCAGGCTTATATCAGGCAGGGATGTAAGGCAGCCAAGAGATTAGGAGACTTCTCGCAGACAGAACGAGGACTCAGGCTATGTCAAAGCTGAGGGGCGAGAGTCCATCACCCCCTTTTGCTATAGCCCCCCAAGTCCTTCCCTGGGGGCTCCCCATGATCATGCCTGTCTTAGGTCAATCCCCCCTTGGGGAATCTTACCCGTCATTGGCTAACCAATCAAACACTGGGGGCCAGTTATGGATGAAGTAAAAGGATATGAAGCAACATTCCTACGAGGGAGATAAGCTTTGTCTCTTTAGTGGCTTATGGTCTGAAGATTGCTCACTCAGCCTTAGCCATGGGGGGGGGGGGGGGGGTGACAGCTTCTGAAACCAGGCAGGGTGGTTCCCAAAATCTCCCCCTTTTCTGTTTTTGAAATCAATTGTAGCTGTTAAGCCTGTGAAACCTACTATTTGCTGTCCCTGAATTTGAGATTTGACCTTAAGAAAATAATATATATAATAAAGCACAAATAAGGATTAAGACAAGTGGCACCCAAGGGCTGCTAGGACCCAATATGTAAATTCAGTCCATCAAACCAGTTTTTAGGGTTCAGCCATTATAGATTACCGTTGAGGATGTGGAAAAATGTTGCAAATCCAAGGGAATGATAAGAGTAACAGGTCTGGTTACACTTCAATCCTTGGGAGAATTAGCACAGACTTCAGGAAATTACTATAAAGATATATAGCAAGGGCTTGTACCTGAACTCAGGGTGAGAGAATTTTAGCAAGAGCAAGTCACAAAGCGGCCTAGATATAATGCAGGTCTAATTCCCCACGGGAAAACTTCTTCACAGGTGTGGTCCTGTGTGCCGCCATGTCCCCTACTGCTTTTCCACGTGGGTGCTAAGCTACATTTCCACATCTTGAGAAGCAGTTCCCTACAGATCAGTAGATTACTCAAATGACAAAAAAAAAAGTTGGGGGGGCATGGACTTTGGCTTCAGACAACCCGGGACTAAACTGACTCTGGAGTTTCTTGTGAGCTGTGGGACTTTGGGCAAGTCACTTAACTCCTCTAAACTCTAAGCCTCGGTTTTCCTAATTTCACGGCAGCAGTGATAGTAGCTGTGTGAATATTGTGAGGACTAAATGAAATCAAGTATGCAATGTGATGAGAGCAATGCCTGGCCTATAGATAAAACAGATAAAAGCCACATTTTTATTATACCAATTATTACTATTAATATTATTGCAGTTGTTTTATGAGATTAGGTTGACTTTGGAAGTAGCCGAACGATCTGCCTGGCCATGCCACGGTTCTCTGTTTCTGCTGGAAATCTGATATTTGCCCCTTCAGGTCCACATTCTTGCCTCCTCCCCCTGCTGTGTGCTTTGGGAAGGCTGGTGCTTATGAACTGGATCAACGGGCTCCTGGGCCTTCAGCTGCCATCCAGGTTCAGCCCGTGGGTGCACAGGAGACTGAATGGTGAGGCACGAGGAAACTCTGCCCTTCACTCTCGCAGCTCCCTCCTTACCAAGGAGCCATTGATGGGATGGCTCCCTCCCTTCGAAGCCCACAGGTTCTGTCCTCGGCCCTCCCCAGGTTTTCATAAGCCCTTCCTGCCATTGCCCCTT